AGCCTGAGTCCGTGGCGCGGAGAAGCAGTCGTACGGAGTCGCCGGGCTGTAGACAGGCCTGTGGGCTAACGCCCTGCATGGTGTCCTCCAACATGCGCAGGAGACCCCGGTCCTTTTCGAGGCTGAAGAGACGCAGCAAATCGCATGTCGGCGGATGGTTGAAGTGCACAAAGGAGACCTCCTGGAGGGAGTAATGAATGCGTGCATTTGGACCAATATCGGCGTCCACGGCGCGAACTCGTGTGATGATCCGATTGGTGGGAAACTCAATGCCGAGTTGAATGCGTGAATCGTCTGGGGACCGGGGATATAGCCAGACTGGGGCATTGTCATTCTGATCACCAATTTGGATAATTATTGTTGCACTGTAGAAAGAAAAATAAATTTTGAGGGAATTATTGGCGTAAATTTCCTATCTCATAAAATCAAGAAAATCCCTGTTACTTAAACGCAGACTCTGCTCCCAAAGGCTTACAGCCGTAAATGGGTGACGGTTCGCAAAAAGAAGGTGTATTGTGGTTTATGGATTAATATTACGTTGTTCGGAAGTTAAGAATATCCGAAAATTGGTGTAACCAAATTGACATGACTCATAAATTTACAGAAAGCCTGTTCATCCAAAGAACGAGTTAATAGAGCATCACATGTAGCATGACCTTGGGCATTTCCAAGAGGTCGAAAACTTTTCTGGCGAAAGTACCATCTGCATCCATCCACCTACCATACACACCGCAACCCGTTTTAGAGGCATTTCAGAAAATGAAGTTGAGATCGTTGCAACAGTAAATTTACTCTTCTGGCGTTTTACATTCTAACTCCGACTCAGTATCAAATATAGTCGACTGCATTCCCTACCTACGATACTTCTGGGATAGATCATATGGCTTCAGAAAGGGACTCCAATGTAGCTCTGGCCTCGGTTGGCGCAACTCTTGGATTTAGCTTTGACTTTCTCATGAGTTTACTAAACTATGAATGGCTATTCCAATCTCCGGATCTTTGTCGGTAATCCCTATGCTACTGGCTCCAATGCGGCAGCTGGTGGGCCCGGAGAATGAATCCACAGGCAGAACTGGCCGAGTGGGTCACATAACCAATCAGAGGCCGCCTAAGTAGCAATTTCAATAGCTCGCAGTCTAGAAAGGGGAGGCCATGAACCGTTGGCTCAATGTTCTACACGTTGAATGATGATGATGATGATGATGATGATGATGATGATGATGATGATGATG